TTTTACTGGGGATCAAACTCAGGATCTTGTGCTTGAGAGGCAGGTAAAGGCACCACTGAGCTAAATCCCCAGCCCTATTTTTCTTATTCTTAATTAACCTATAAGATAAGTACTGTTTAAAACAATAAAACAATTGTTTATAACAATAACAACATATCAGGTGATTATTGCACATGGATAAAGGAAATGAGTCAGAGCAATGTTATATAGGGATGGGAAGGAGGAACTGAGAATATACTGTTATACAGTACCCACTACACTCCAGACAAGCTTAGTTTAGGTACATTATAAATGTATATTGTAGACTCTAGGAAACCATATTTTTCTTTCATTTGATTTTCTGATCAGGTTTCACTGTGTTGCCCAAGATGGCTTTGAACTCCTAGTCTGAAGGGATCCACCTCAGCCTCCTAAGTAGCTAGGACCACAGGTGTGCACCACCTCACATGGCTTAAAGTGTGCATATACACAAGTATGCCAACATGTATACACATAAATGCATAAATGTATGTGCACACATTTGTATGTATATGTATATATGTGCATACATTTGTATGTATATGTATATATGTACATACGTGTGGTTTTGGTGTGCTGGGGACTGAACCCTACTAAGGTGCAGCCTCAGGGCTTTCTGAGACAGGGCCTCCCTAAACTTTCCAGGCTGGCCTTAAATTCATGTTCTTCCTACCTCAGCCTCTCAAGTAGTTGGAACTACAGTTGTGTGCCCCTGTGCCTGGCCTGCCTTAAATATTTCTTAGAAAGAAGTACAACTAGCATTCTAAGAGAAAATGGATCATAAAATGTTTAAAACGAGGAAGATAAAAATGGGGGGGCGGGCATAGAACAAAAGCAACAAATAGAAGAGCACAAACATGGTTAGCATTCACTGAATTATCTAATGACAAGAATCACTTAATTTCCTTCTAACTTATACTCTGAACTAGGAGACTGTCTAAGTATTTCAAGGTGCTAACAAGTAGAATATCTAATTGAGTTCAAAGAAAGTTTCCTCCATCAGGAGAAAAAAAATAAAGATATTAATATCAAGTGATTCAAGCAGCATGTTTCTGTTTGCAAACAATTTGGTTCACAAACAAAAAGCATTTGGCAAAATGTTGCTTTTCTGTTCACAAACTCCACATCAGGTGACATACATGACCACAGCAATCTTCCCTACACAAACAAATGCAGCCAGCCATCTTCTCCAATATTGTAAACTGAGTTATCACTATACTTAACAAACTGATCAGTTTTGATAAAGCGCTTGTGATACAAATGAAGCACACAATTAGAAACTGGCAAAATTCTCTCCCACCTCGTGGTGTGAATTCGGTGCCACTCAGACCATAGTTTAGTCATCATACTTAGTGTTCCCGTCATAGGTAGATTTCTCTGACTATAGGTGCTGACAGCAGTTTATGAAAGTGTCTTAGTTACTTTCTTGTCACTGGGACACAATATCTGACACCCATGAGTTAAAGAAGGAAAGGTTTATGCTATTTTATTTTGGCTCACGGCTCGTAGAAGTTAAGTCTATAGTTAGCTGGCTGCAATGCAGGGCAACAGAGGAGAAACAGCTCATGGAATGGCAGGCAGGAAGCAGCGAAAGATCAAGAGAAGGGAGGGAGATAGACCCTCTGGGTCATGTGGAAGTGACCCAACTCCTCTGACCAGGCCTCATCTCTTGACATCACACCCAGCCATAAACTCATCAGTGGACAAATCCTCTGAGGATTTACACCCAGTGCTCCAGTCACCCGCTGAAAGCCCCATGTGAGCACATGAGGCCTTGGGGAACTGCTCCCTATAAACCGTATCAGAAAGCTAACAGTACCGGAGGGGGCAGGTGGGAATTTGGACCCAACTGGACTTTCACCTCTTACCAGCTGCATGCCTCAGGCAAGTTATTTGATACATTTGAGTAACTTTGGTTGATTCACATGTAAAATGTGGCTGTGTGGGTTACCAAGCTAATACATAAAAAGTGCCTAGCTTGTAAATTGAAATGGAATGAATGGAAAGTATTGCCGAGGGCTTTGTAGCTTCCCAAACTAAAGGCCAAAACTGGTATGTGTGTATGGTTGTACTGCAGTTTCCCAAAATACAAGATTCGTCTCTGTCCTTTGACATTTGTAGGTGAGGAAAGACACAGGGCAAATCAAATCACATCAATTCAGTGAGGCAGGCATGGGAACCACCAGCAAGTGGATTTTCTAGAATGTATAACGCGTGTAAACTCATATTCATTAATTTTTAAATATATTTCAACTTTTTTAGTTAAAAAATCTTACCATGTGCAGCAATTCATTTACACTTATTTTCCCTTTTAATATGCAGCGCTTGGCCATGGTCATCAAAAGCTATAGCTATTAAATGTGCGCCTAGCCTAGAACTTCACTCTGGCGTTAGAGCACATCACATTTCCTCTGTCTAACCCAGAAATCCAAAGCTCCTGGTAGGACAGTCAACTTTCACATCTTGTTTGTGGCACTGGAGACTGGGTGCTCTACCTACTAAGCTACATCCCCAGGCCCTTGTATTTTTTATTTGGAAACAGCACAGCGGGGTTGTGCTGAGTAGCCTAGGCTGGCCTCAGACCTCCTATCCTTCTGCCTCATGCTCCCCAGCAGCCTAGATTATAGATGTGTGCCATTATGCCCGGTTCACACCTTTCTTCTTCACAAGAATAGTCACGTTTTCCCTTTGAGTTTCTGTTACCAATGGTTATCAAAGAACTATACTACTGTTTCTCACTTCAGATTTGCATTTTCCTTTCGACCTAAACTAGAAAAGTATCAATTTAGTGAATTAAAAATAGTTTGAAGTTATCTGATTCTTCTTTAAAATTTTATTTTTTATTTGTTTATTAGTACCTTTTAGGTATACAATATGATGACATTCATGATCAGGAGTTTGTACCTCTGCGTGATACATCTTGGCTCTTATTTTTTCCCCATTCCCCTGCCCTCCCCCCAACCCCGCCACCACTTCATATTTACAGAGACTTTTGCTTCCATTTTTTTTCTTATTGTTTTTTCCTCCCCTCACCACTTCCCCTTTTCTTCCTATTTCACATTATCTGTTATATATTTTGGTATTCATTTACACTTTTAGTTTCCTCAAAAAGCTAGGATTAGAGGTCCTATTTGACCCATCTATTCCCCTGCTGGGTATCTTCCCAAAAGGATTAAAAGAATCCTACCACAGTGATATACGCCCACTCATGTTTATAGCAACACAATTTGTAATAACTAAATCTTGGAAACAACTCAAATGCCCATCAACTGGAGACTGGATAAAGATTGTGTGTGTGTGTGTGTGTGTGTGTGTGTGTGTGTGTGTGTGTGTTTTTTAAAAATAATATTTGTTTTAATGGAATACTATTCAGCCATAAAGAATGAGAAACTGGAGACATTTATAACTAAATGGATACACATTGAGGCCATACTCTTAAGTGAAATAAATAGGACACACAAGTGTAAATACTGAATAATTTCTCTGGTCTGATTCTTCTTATGTAGTCCAAAAATACTATCTGTACAGGTAACTAAAGATAAGAGTACTTTTAAGAAATCTCAAGGAAACAATAAGTAGATGACTTACTAAGTGTTATGGTCTCGTATTGAGACTTCTCCCCGGAACCTCGTGCAGTGATAGGTGGGGCTTTTGTAGAGGTGGCTGGTGTAGAGTGTGTGACACTGGGATGGATTCATGGTGCAATGCTAGGCTCAAGGGCACTAGGATTAAGGGTTTGAGGGCTACCTGCCTAAGTAGTCTGGATAAGATATAAGGGATAGAAAGAGCTGTGGTTGTCCCTTGTAGCTCTGCTACCCTCTGCCCACCATGAACTGTTTCTTCTCTGCCATGTGCCACCCTGCTTTGGAGCCAGCTGATTATGGACTGAAACCTATACAAACTGTGAGCTAAACAAACCTTTCCTCCTAAACTCTGGGCATTGGATATTTTGTCTCAGCAATATTTTGTCTTAGACACTAAGACTCCATGTCTAACTCAGTGAAGGAATCTTGAAACTCTATTTTCTATCTTGTTTTTATGACTTTTGTGAAGCATGTGAACACATTAGCAATAAGAGCCATTTATTTGAAGTATCTATTTTTATTAAAAAGTGCATTTTGATTAATTTATGATCTAGGTAAGCTGTAAGGTATAAGTATACTCTCTGGAATAATAACTTTACAAAGATTTAAAACAAACAAAAGTTTAAAAGCCTTTTTATTTCCTTCACCATTATTGTTTTACAATACAAATATCACTTTGTGAATACACAAAAAAACCCTACAGTAGATAATTCTGCTGCACGTAAAATACAGAATGGATATATATATATACTTCTTCATTCTTAAAAAACTATTTTGTTCTCCACATTGGCAAGTATAGAAGAGAATACTTCCCCAAACATACATGTTAGGAGTAAAACTTAAGAGTTACATGCAGTTTCTGCACAAATATATTTTAAAGAAATAGATCTCTTTTGTTGTAGACCAACAAAATTGTCATGAGAGTATGGGTAACAATTTGTAGCTTTCAAGTTTTAGGTAAGTGATCATTTTCAAAACTCTCTTTAAAAAAAGATATTCATGGCTGTTTTCAAAGAGTAGTTAAAATCAAACTACCAAATAGATGATAAAATAATTTAAGTGGTACATGTCATTGCTACTTGCTCACAATATGTGAACAAGTTCTGATTCTAATAAACATCCCCATTCTTTAAATCAAAGCAATTTTAAAACCATAAGCAGTCTTCTGATTGAATTTAGCTATAAACGCAAAAATTTTGTAGTGTATACATATGTTTATATTTTTGTGGAATTACTTTATTTTAAATAAAAACATTTAAGATCGCCTACAAACCATACAATCAAGACAAGAAAGGCACTAGAAACATAGACACATTTCTCTCCCAAGAAGCATTTTACATTTTAACTCTCTTCTCTCTGACATGTAAAAATCTTTAAATTTGGTTTTCATAACATCGTTTTGAAAAATAAAGTTAGGAAATACTTAGAAAATCACTTTATAACAGATTTTTTTTCTCTCTTTTGGACACACCATCTCTGTTGATTTTACAAAATCCAAAGTTACCAAACCTCTCTGTGTCTGTGACTTTTATTTGAACATTGGTGCAACAGGCAGGAAGATTTCAGAATTGAACCCCATTCAGGTACTTAGAAACCTTCATAGAGACATCTGCTAGAAAATGGCTTACAGCCCAATCTTTGGGGCAAGCGATATGAAAAGTATGTTTTCCCAAGAAAATAATATGCTTTATTTCCAGATATGACTGGAAAGACCAGAACTTAATGATATAAAAGCTTACATTTATACTGCTGCTTCATATACAAAGGAACATGGTGGCTGCGGGTAATGTAAATCCCAAATTTATGAACAGAAAATGTGTACAGTGCATGATAAGTTAAATTTTCTTTATTGTTGTCCAGCGCAGGTCCTTTGGAGAGAAAAAAAGATCACAGTGCTGACCAGGTAACTCAATAGGTTAAGTCAAGGTAACTGTTGAAAGATAATAGAATTAGGGAGGTGTTTATTTTATGGCATCTTCTCTCATGGAGTTCTTAGCACTTGGGACAGTTTCTCACTCCCCCATTGTACAGCTGTTATGTGTCGTTCACCAGCCGGCTGTATTTAACTTGCTTACTGAGGTGGACTACGGGCCAGGGAAAAGGCCAGTGGTAAGATCGAGGTACAATTCCTTGGACATTCTTTTCAAAGTACTGAAATGGCCTGTACCACCACACCCTGGCCAGGAGGTTCATCTGGGAAGCTTCCTTTAGCACCTAAAATAACAAAGAAACAAACAAATTTTTCTCACTCTCTTTTTGCTTTTATTTCAAGTACTTTTCATGCTAAAATTCACAAAGGAAAGCCAGGCATGACTGCATGCCTGTAATTCCAGCACTCAGGATGATCACAAGTTTGAGGGCAGCCTGGGCCACATAGTGAGTGCAAGGTCAGCCTCAATTACAAAGCAATATCCTGTTTAAAAAAAAAATTTATAAGTGACTCAGACTTGCCCCATGTCCACCACATATCCCAATTTCACTCTCAGATCACCATTCCGTCCTTCGTACACATTGGCAAAGTGGGCCACACCCAGCTGTAAACCAAACAATCTCTATGTGGACAGGGCAAAAACTTATGACTCAGTCATCTATTGTTTCTCAATAAATACCCTTTTATCAATATCAATAACTTTTTTTTTTGGTACCAGGGATTGAACTCAGGATCATACACTTACAAGGTAGGCAGCAGCACCACTGAGCTAAATCCCTGGCCCTCCAGTTAACTTTTTATTCATTCTTCTATATAGTAAATAGAAAGACCATTGAGCTGGTGATAGGGCCCAGAGTAATGGGAAGTGGGTAGGAATGTAAATTAAGCAATGGGAAGACACAGCTCAGATAATATTTTTCATAGACAATGGTAGTGTGGTACTTGCTTTAGAAGGAAACAATATTCTGTATCACCCCGTCTCCCCCAAGTACTGGTGATTCAACCCAGAAGCACTATACCACTATGCTACATCCACAGCCCTTTTTATGTTTTATTTTGACCAAAGTTTTTCTAAGTTGTTCCAGCTGGGCTCTAACTCGGGATTCTCCCAAGCAGCTAGACTATACAACCATGGGTATGTGTCACCATGTCCAGCTCCTATGTCATTAAACTAGCACCCTTTTTCATTTTGATTCTGAATATCAGTATCACAAGAGACAGAAGAATCTTAGTCCACTGCCCACTAAGAAAAAGAAACTTAAGACATCTGTAGATTCCTTGCTCCTCTCCCCTGCTCAAGCCAGCAGCACCATCAGGGAGTACAAGAACTAAAGTCAAATGGGGACAGAACTCACTTGCTGATTGGCCATTGTGTGATACCACCAGAAGAGTCGTGTGGTGATGTAATATGCCACTACCACGTCCACAGTGTAGTGGTCATGCGCTAAGAGAATACAGAAGATTCCAACGACGCTGAGCAGCCAGCAAATCCAGTGATACCACCAGAGTCGTCGAGGTGAATCTGAAAAAGAGGAGAAACTGGAAATAGTCCTATGATCCAAAGACACGAAGAGCACTCAACTGTGCTTCTACTGTATACAGTACTTCTGAGTTCAATCTCCTTACATCTTTCCTTCTGAAAACCAATCTTGTGGGATAGTAAATCTTTGGGGTCTTATTTATCAGTAACCAAGGTTACAAGAGCTGTCTATAAAGTGATTTTTTTCTAGCAATAACAGTTATTGCAGTAAGTCCCCAACTTACAAACATTCAAGTTGCAAACTTTCACAGATACTAACTGACCTCACATTACAAACATCTGTAGATGTGAACAAGTCATGGAAATGGCTCCCATGTCCACCAGACATTGTCACAGTTGTGCTGTTGTGTGCTCCCTATACAGTATGACAGTGGATAGCAGTACAGGGCTCAGTCATGGCCAGGATGACCGGAAGAAAGATGAAAAGCGGTGGTGATATGAAGGGGACTGGTAGGCAACACAGCACAAAGCAATATGCACTGTGCATTTGTGTCAAAGGTGTATAAGACTCACTTTAACAGACGTATGAATGAATCTGACTTACCAACATTCTCCAAGGCCAGAAGTCATTCGTACATCAGGGACTTACTATACTTGATTCATACAATCACAAATACAGTTTACAAGATGAGTCTAATCAAAAAGGTCAGATTAATGGATTACGCTTCATTCTAAATATTTAATTAATATTTGATACTTATTAACTTACATCTTTGTAATTTGGTGTTAATGCGATCTACCAGTGATGGCAAATCTTTTAGAGCTTGAGCACCCAAACTGCAACCCCAAACCCACTTATTTATCACACAAAGTGCTAAAACTGCAATTAAAGCTCTATACTCGGGTTTTAGTTTAGAAAAAACAACTGTTACTTGATGCTCAACTGCTGAGGCAGCTTGGCCTGCCTGCTGACAGAGAGGGCTCTGCGTGCCCACTGTGGCACATCTGCCATAGGTTTGCCAACACTGCTCTGTACAAAAACTCAATTTCTTGGTCCACAGATCTTTATATACAGATTACACAGTTATAATTAATTTAACCACTGATTTATTTTCCAATTTCTGCATCTATACACTAATCTAAGCTTTTGAGATTTTTGTTTCTCAAATACAAACGGCTAGAGGATCAAATGTCTCCCAAAAGGTAGAACACTATGCGTCATATTACGGGAGAAGGTTCAGATTTTTCTTGGATTCCAAAGAGGTCCAAAAACCACTCACTCATTCAGTCAATATCCTCTGAGCATTATGTCAGGGACAGGCACTGCTCTGGGTATCTTGATGAATGAACAAAGCAGGCAGAGTCTGCCTCTGTGGGTAGAGTCCCTCCTAAGAGGGAAGAAAGACAAGACTATAATCACAATAATTTGTATACTGTATCAGGGATAGCAAAAGCTATGGAAAAATAAAATATAGGTAAGCAGGATAAGAGGTTCAGAAGTGAAGGGCAATTTGCAAATTTAAATAGAGTATGGTGAGGGTGGGAGCATAACCTAGTAATACCTGTACTTGATACTTTAACAATACAAGTATCAGCTATTATTATTTCTGTGCAACTCTGTTCACAAAGATTTAAGTTAAATAATTTTTCCTAGAGTCACAGAGCTAAGAAGTGATAGTATCAGGATTCAAACTCAGGGTTTTGTGACTCAAGGCCTCTGTGTTTCCCAATTTGGCACAATGCCTTAATATGGAGAAATATAAGCCTTGACATAATTAAAAGATCTCAGGTATTAACCAGCAGGGGGCAGGAATCCACCTGTACTTAGCCCCAAGGCTCCCATTTTCCACATTTGGTTACATCCAGTATAATGGCTATATAATGCCTGTGGATCTTCAACAAATCCTGGTAGAATTCACTATATCTGATCACATACTAACTTCAAGTAGAATATCTACTCTTCCCTCTCTCTCATTGCCCTCTGGCATATTTTCTGTTCTTTGGTCTTGTATTTTAAGTTTCTAAGATGAGAACTGAGCTTGTATCCACTCTGCCACCCCTCTCCTCTACTCCCACAATCTATCCATGTAATTTGTTGACTCTTTTGTATATTAAAGTCTCTCAGTATCCTTCACTTCTCTCCATCCCTGATGCTATCATGGTAGTTCAAGCCATCACTATCTCTTTCTTTGGTTATAGTGGCAGCCAATCACCTAACTGATCTCCTGGTCTCTAGGATTGTCCCTTTCCAGTCCAACTTGCAAGCTGCTGCAAGAGTATGATCTCTAAAGAACAAATAAGATGGCACTGTTCCATTGGTCTTAACACTGTAATAAGCACTTAATCTCCATGAGAGGGAAGTTCAGACTCCTGGGAGGCTCAGGGCACCCTCCCTGATCTGGTTCCTACCTATCGCTCCATTTTTACTTCTCATTACTCCCACTCTGATGTCCAACCTCTGAACTTCCAGAAAGTGTCAAACACTCCCTCTCAGATCACAACACACATCCCTCCTCGACGAAGCATAGCAGACTGGGTTTACTTACTGTTCTTCTTGAGAACTGATTGCATGATGCTTACTAGACTGGTTCTAACAGTAGAATATTAAGGACAATTGAATTTTCTATAAGTAGAGGAATGAATAAATAATTTGTGGTTCACTTTAGTACTGAAACACTAACAGCAGTTAAAATGAATGAACTTGTCAAAAACATAATCTGGAATAGAGAGACAGAAGACACATACATAGCATGATGTTATGTAAAATTTAAAAACCACAAAATAACAGAGAAATACAGAAACATGGAAAAAATAGAGGAAAATAAGAGGTGGATGGGGGTGAAAAAGTTTTAATCATATACTGTATTATAGTTTGTAAAAGGGTTATCAGAAGCTAATATGGCAAAATGCTAATATATTTTAAATTTGAACATTGTATATGGGCATCTATGATATTGTTTCTTTCACAATAAAATATTTTAAGTACTCTTCTTAAAAGAAATTTCCCATGTGGCATCTGTCTAACTCCTGCGCCTGTGGAGGTCTTTTTGAGGGGAGACGCAACACCAGACTTGTCATAGCACCCTCACCATACAGCATAGTGTTGAGTGCTTGAAAAAATGGCTGCTCAGTCAACACAGGATCTTTTCTCATCCACTCAGGTCTGACACTGGCTCTGTGTCCTTATGAGTTTTCCTCCTGCCTCTTTTACAGCAACTGTACCACTGACTTGTGACACACCTGCACACTCTGCAGGAAACTGCCTCTACCCCAGCACTACAGGAAACAAGAAACCCCCTCCAGAAGCATAGTTGCATCCTTCTGCCATTTCTTTAGGCATAGGCTGCATCCTAGGCAGGACGAGATGAGGTTGCCACCCTCTAATTTTTCCAGTCTGGCTTCAGCAGTCCTTCCATGAAATGTGGTTTCCCCAAGGCCCAGAGACCCTGGGAAATGTCAAGTGAGGAAAGTGTAATGGAGGATGTTACAGACTTACACTCTTTGATAAATAAGTAGGTGAGCGTTAGCATGACCGTGTGCCCGCTGTACAGATAGTCCCCACACATGTTGTGAGAGCCAGTGATAGACAAGCCACCTCCAGCAATCAGCTTCATTATTCTCCGCACTTGGGCTTCCCAGTCACCAAAAAGCTACCAAGAAAGGAGAGAACGAGATCATTAGCTCACGAGAGTATGACAGAATTATTATTTATAACAAGAATTAGACTTTATTAAGACATCGAAAATCCCTCCTAGGAAGTTGGCCTCCTCAGTGTTTACCATTCTGCAGGCAGTTTCTGGAAACAGTATGGTCCAACAGGTGAAGAATTTGGCTTCAGAACTTGCCCTACATGTCAGCATTTTTTCTAGTGCATTTCAGCAGATGTTCATTCAATTTTTTAAAATTACACAACAGAGAAAACTGATGGGACTGACTGATGTACCAAAGATTTGCTTTGGAAAAAGAAAATTTAAATCTTCTAGAAAAAATTGGAGATACATTTTGCCATGTTTGGTGTAGCAGACACTTGTCCTACCAATTTAGCTAAAGCACCCGAAGCCTGGGATAGTGAAATGAATGAAATAAAGGACTCAGTAAGATGTGCTATCATTCTTCTCAAAGTAAAAAACACTATGTAGTGTAGGAAAGGTAATACATTAACCTACTTGCCTCTGCTGCAAGACTGCAAAACTGGGCAGAGGATTTAGCTCAGTGGCACCACGCCTGCCTCACAAGCACAAGGTCCTGAGTTCAATCCCTGGTACTAAAAAAAAAAAAGAAAAGAAAAAAGGGCTGGGGATTTAGTTCAGTGGTTCTGCCACCTGCCTCGCAAACACAAGGTCCTGATTCCCCAGTACTGGGAAGAAAATAAAAGACTGAACCTTTAGAACACTGTCATCAAGAAGAGAGCTACTGCTAGTGAAGACACTAGGAACGAGGCTAGACAGAATAAACAGGTACTACACCTGCTTACTGACCTTAATTTGCTGTCAAATAAGATATGTGAATAACTGTATTTTATGTTTGTCAGCACTCTTAAATTCTAGTTGGTCAATTTAATTAACATGATCCCTTTTCAACATTTAACTGATAATATTCCAGCTTTGGGAAAAAACACATTTCATTCTAACTTTGTTTATAAAAAGTCATCTCAAAGTTTCTAGTTAAAGATGGCAGAATGCACAGACCATACAGAAGACAGGAATTTCAATTTAAAGAGATTTCTTTAGTGCCCAGCACAGAAGGAGAAAACTGGCCTACATGGCAAGGTTCACTGCCAGGGAGCTTCAGAAACTGGAGACTAAGAAGAGACACTAGAGCTTCTAGAGATTAAAAAGCAGCTTTAGATAAAGGATCATTAGAATTGAGACTTTTCTAAAGTGACACTGGAAAAACGGCTTTTAGGAAAATGCCTTCAAATTCTAAGGAATATGATTTCCAATTTAGAATTCTTGTTATAAATAAATTCAGTGTTAAACTAAAGCCTTCAAACACACACACACACAATTTTAAAGTATTTACCAGTATAAAGAAAGAGCAAAGTAAAGTATAGGAAATAGAAAATAGGAAGATAGAATTTTTGCAAAAGGGAGGGGCACCAAGAGATAGAGTGGGGGAGAAACAGGGGAGGGCAAGGGGAAGAAAAAGAAATGTGTTATGCAGTTACGCACTTGTACCAACTCCCCATGATGAATGTAATCACTATGTATTAATATATATATATATATATGCACACACACACTCACACACACACACACACACACACACACTTTTGGGCAGGAATTATAGAAAGTGTGTCTAGGACGCAAGTCAACAGAGAGAACACACAGCCTAGGACGCCAATGAAAGGTAAGGCCGTGAGCTAAGCGGGATGGTGAGCAGCCTAAAGTTCCCAGAGAAATGTCTCCAGAATGATGCAGATAAAACAGGCAATGGCTCTGATAGATCGAGAAAAGTGTCTTGCTTAGGGGTGAATAAGTACATAGAAAACTACTAATGCAAAAAACAAGGCAATTATTAACCCTACAAGAAACAAAACATTATGCAGAAAAGGAAGAGTAACTATAGCAACTACACGGTTTGGCTGTGAACAGCATTTATAGAACTGCAGTAATGTAGATCATAGATACTGAGATTAACAGTGGTCAGAAGACTACAGAGGGAAGACAAGAATACAGGTGATAAACAGGGGAATAGAGGAAGGAAGAAAAGCCACAGAAGGACACTGAATCCTTTGCACTCAAGAGATGTGAGAGTATACCCATAAAAAGACTGTGAAAAGAGTTAAAGATATAGGCCAAGGATTTAGCTCAGTGTTTCCTGCCTCACAAGCACAGTGACCTGAGTTCAATCCCTGATACCCTCCCAAAAAAAGAGAGTTAAAGATATGATAGTAAATGTCACAAGATTCAGCAGAAAGAATTAAAAGGAAGTAGGAAAAGGGGCTAAAAGTCATTCAGGGCCAGATTATTGTTTCTCATAACATGATTAGTAGAACAATTTCACTTTTTTTTTTTTTTTTTTT